AAAACGGCATCTTACAAGGAGTGCAAATGGAGCAGTTTACCTTATAATTTACTTTTAGTTAAATATTCTAATAAACAAGAGACTTTAAACTAGCAGACAGGTTTTACAGCCTAATCAATACAAAAATAACGACAAATGGCTTTAGCAGGTTATTCAGAGTTGACGCAGTTGTTTTACAGACAATTTACTCTCTTGTTCTCTGACAATATCATTCAAGCACCACTATTTACAGTAATAGCGACATTCCTGCATTAAGTGGTTTGCTTAATTAATTGGTGATGTTTAGAACAGGATGAAATACAAAAGAGGAACCCATTATATCCAGATTACTTTTTGGTCATACGTGGTTAAATAGTACATTATTTAAAATGGGAATACTCCGGATTACTGTAGCTCACTGACTTGTGGGTTGATCACAGCCTTCTCTGACAACAGCTTAGAAACGCCACTATTCATCTGGGCAGCCATCAGCATTCTTGCATAATGTGCCCAAAAATCTTTGGGGCACAATCTGAAGGGGTCAAACATAGCTTTACAGATGAGTAAACTAAAACATCATTGCCTTTCATGCTTGTTGTATCAGGCATTATAGCGTCCTTTTTCAGATCAAACTGAAAATTTTTCCAGCTAGATAAAAATAGTAATAATGATAATAATAATAAAAATAACAAAAATAGTATAACAATATGCCTATTATTATCAAGGTAAGATATTGATGCTGTAGAATGATAATCCCTATGGTCTAATGTAATTCCTTAGAAAGGAGGAGCGCACATCAGCTGATCTAAATAAAAGAAAGACGCCATAAAATAAATGTTACGTGTCAAACAGCATAATAGGCTAGTATCCGTAAAATATATAAATAAGTTAAATAAGTTATTGTACAATTTTTGATATCATAGGCCATCAAGTGATTAAAAAAAATAGAAAAACATTTAAGGCAACAATAACAAACTCAGCCACAGCTGGGACCGAGCTCTCAACCTTTTGCACTGCAGACCATTCACTCTACCCACTACGCTATCAGCTGTGAACACATAACGCCCATCCCAGTCTGATACTTGAGCTATCTAATCCTGACTCATGGGACGCCGAAATGGACTCAGACTGCCACCTAGTGGCTATAGTAGTCACACGTTTTTCACGCAATTCGCGAAACACGTAGAGCGTGAGTGAAGTGTCCATTTCCAACCAGGGCCCACTGTATTTGTGTTACTGTTCTCATTAATCAACACACATGCAACACATTTATACACATATATAAAGTCATAATGTAACTTCTTAAATTATGCCATTAATGTCGTTTTATTGAAATATTATTGATTTTAATATGTAAATTTCTTGAATCAGTGCCCCCCTCCTGTAACAACCCCCCCATGCAGGGAAATGACATGATGTGACATGACATCACTTTACTTTGAAATGTTTTGCATTCTAACTGTGATTGATTTATAAGCTATAACTTATGTTGCAGTGTACTGACGTTGCTAACACAAGTAAGCTAACAATATTGTTTTAACGTAAATAGTATAACTAAGGTCAGGGAATTAATCACGTGATTGGTTTGAATATAAAAATACACCAGAAGCGGTTCTGGGCGAGGCATGTTGCCTGAGGCAGCTCAAGGTTAGCGTTACTAGGAGCTGCCTGCGGCGTCTCCAAGCAAACTTTACATAAACCAGATCATATCCGGGTTATTCAACTTGCTTGAGATCAAAAAAATTAAATAGAAAAAGGATAATGAGCGTTATACATTTTTTCCATTTTCGATTTTATGCACAAACTTGGAAAACGGATAGTAGCTAATTTTCTGGTTTTTCATTTCGTTTCGAAAGCAAATATTGAAAAAAACGAGTGCATTTTTCCAGTTTTAATTTTCGATTTTAATTTGAAAAACGAAAGAATGAATGATACACGGATTGTGATGAATGCCTGAATTCTTTTAAAGATTAAACACACATTTGTTTGGCATTGCCTTTGACTGTTCTACTTAAACTGTTTTAATAAATAAAAGCCAATAGAAATAATAAATTATATTCAATCCTTAAAGTAAGAAAAATAGGATTTGAAAATACAAAAGAGTGACTGATGTTTTAGGATTAAATTAAAATTTGCTTTTAATTTCTACCTTTTAATTTCAAGTTATTTTGAAATGCAGAAAAAAATACAACATGGGGATGTTGTATTTTGCTGCTGGCGCTGGTGCTGGCTCAACCACAGGCTGCTTTTGCAATACTGCCAAGCTGTGCATTTAATAATTCGCCAAATTTCATAGAATTTTGAGTTAT